CAATACTTTTTCTTTTCCCTGCAAAAAAATTGTATTTCTAAATGGAATTTTTGTACAGTTTTTATCTTTTATTCAAAAATATTCATTGAAATTGAAAAAACTTCCAAACGAAAAAAGAACAAAAATAAAAGAATTGGAAAAAAAATGATTTGGAAAAGAAATTGAATTGAAAAAGAAAAATTTTGAATTACTTCAATTGACCATGTTTTTTAATATTCTTTTTTTTCAATAACAAAAAAAAAAAAAAAAATGTAAAAGAAACAAACTACTGTTTCTTAATAATCAAGTAAGTGCAATTGTTAATAAAATGACGGAGAATAAAAATTTTTCGGTTCAGATAAAAATCAATTCTCGATAGCATTTAATCTCAGGACCGAAGAATTTGCGTAATTTATAAATAAAAAAAAAAATTTTTTTAAGCACACTTTGTCCCTTGTATATGATAATAATTAGCTTTACCAATTTAGCATCAAAGTCCGTTTTATCGAAAATTTCAGTTTGCTCAAAATAGCATTTTAGAAAAAAATAAAAAAAATGTGTAAACGATGCGAAAAGCAAGAATGTTAAAAGTCAGGAAAATAGAATAAGATTCGACAAATTTTGAAAACAAATTTTCTACACTTAAAAAACAGTAATTTCATTTTTACAGTTAAAGAAAATTATTCCTCAAGTTTCTATGAAAAGAAAAAATTATTTTTTACACAAAAAAAAACCATATCTAGTCCCATGATATTATACACGAGAAACTTGTCAATTTTTTAAATTTTTCAACAAAAATAAAAAAAGGATAATAATTTTTACTGTGATGATGGAATTATTTGTTAAATTAAAATTTCTACAAGTGCTATTTTTTAATTTTAAAAAATGTGTCTCGAGAAGAAATTTTTTGTCTGCGTTTCAGAAAAGTATGTGTGGCGTGAGTGCATGTAAAATCAAAGGGCATTTGTTTGCGTACTAATTAGAAAATAATAAACATTAAGAGTGTGTATTTTTTTTTTTTTTTTTTTTTTTTTGATAATCGGTCATCGTGAATAATAAGTGAGAAAATGAAAATTTCAATTTTGACGAATTTCGTCTGTATTGAGAGAAAAAGAGAAAAGAAGCGACATTTTATATACATTTATTTATCTCGCTTAGTATTTATAGGAAAACCCTTTTGATACGCGACTAATGGCTAAAACATTATTTATATGTCTCTTTATACTCGAAGGGAGAACGAAAAGTTTTATATCCACTGTATTTACAATGAAATATACTTACACGTAAACCTAAATGTTCTTTGCATTTTTCAATTTGCTTGTAAATTTAATTTTTCAATTTAATTTTTCAATTTAGATTTTTTTTGCTAATTCAATTAAATTCAAATTTTCAATCAAATTTTTTTTTTTATAATTTAGTTAAATTCAAATTTTTAATCAAATTATGAAAATAATTGAAATTCTTTTTTCATTTCTAATTTTTGTATAAAGTAAATTAAACTTTTCAATTCTATATTTTTTATTTTGTTTTTCAAGTAAATTCAATTCAATTTTTCAATTAAGCAAATTGAACGTAAATAAATTTTATTTCATTTTTAATATTCTTGTACAAATAAATGTATAATTGGAAAATTATCTTATTACTATAAGATAATTTTCCAATTATACATTTATTTGTTTTTCAATTCAATTCAATTGAAAATAATAACATTTTTTTCATTATTAATTTTTTTGTTATGTAAATTCAATTTTTCAATTTTATATTTTTTTCTAACTCAATTAAATTTAATTTTTAATCAACAAAACCGAACTTATTTAAATTTTTTTCAATTTGTTTATAACATTGTGAATTTTAAATATCAAATTAATTTTTTTTGTTTTTAAAATTCAATTCAATTCAATTTTTCAATCTACCAAAATAAATATTTAATTTTATGAAATAATTTTATTTTTAGAAGTAATTTTTATTTTTCAAAAATTAGATATTTAAATAGATATTCAATTTAAAAAAATCTATTTATTTAAAAAATTCAATATTTTTTTAAAATAAATACATTTTTTGAAATAATTATATTTTTTCTGAAAAATTTAAAATTAATTAAAATTCGATTCAAAGTTTTGCAGTTAATTAAAATTTGATTTTTCGAAAAAAAATTCTTTCTGTTCTATGATAAGTAAAGAATAATTACTGTTTATCATAATGTACAGTAGTTGACATTAATGTCTGAATAAAGGGAATTTAATAAAAGTTTTATTTTTAAAAAATTTTAATTTTTTGAATTAATTTTTTGTCCTGGTGAAAATGACAGTGTATCATTATTATTTTAAAGAATAAAAATTGTTTTAAATATTTTTTCAACTTACCTGTTATTTAATAAAATTTCTCGAAAAAATACAATTATTTTTAAAAATGTTAATTAAATTCGATTACTTTTTAAGATTTTGAATATAAATTCAATTTTTTCAACAATTTTGATGAAATTCTTTTAAAAAAATCATTATCATTAAATTTTTAATAAAATTCCTTCAAAAAATTCAATTATTTTTATGAATTGTAAAATTCGCCGCAAGAATTACATTTTCTCGAAAGAATTTTTTAGGAGAATTTAAAGAAAATATTTAAAAATAATTGAATTTTCCCTGGAATTCGATTAAAATTGTATTTAAAATAATTCAATTCCAGCAAAAATTTCATGTTGAGAAAAAAAATATTCCGCTAATTTTCAAAATTTTCTTTATAAAAAAAAAATTTTAAAACAAATTCTTTGAAAATATAAGGGCAGCAAAAGTATAAAAGTATTAAAAATTTTATTTAAAAAAATTATTAAATACATTAATTTTCTTTAAAAATTCTTAAAGTTTTTCAATAATTTTATTCAAAAATTCTAAAAAAAAAATCATTGAATTTTTGAAGAATTACAGAATTGCAATTTTTATAGAAATAATTAAATTTCTTGAGGTTTTTTATTGAAAAATTATTTGGAATTTTAATTCCTTGTAGGAAAATAAATAAGAATAGGTTTTTAATTTTTTGTTTAACAAAAAGTATTGAAGTTTTGAATAATTTAATTCAGAAATTCCGAAAAATTGTTTCTTGAAAAAATGTAATTGAAATTTTTTTTAAAAATAATTGTATTTCGGAAAATAATTGTAAAAAATTGAAACAATTAAAAATTTTGTCAAATTTTATTGATAAAAATTTAATATTTTAATGAATTTCATTTGTTTAGGTTTTAAAAATTATTTTCAAATATAATTCTAGTTTTGAAAAATTCTAATTAAAAATTTGGAAAATAATTGAATTTTAAAAGAATTTAGAATAAACCTTTATCTACTGGTCGACAAAAAAAACTAAAAAATACGAAGGAAAAATGATTTAAGATTGTAACAAATAAAATTCAAATTTTGCTTTAATCCATTCCATTTATTGTGCCGCTTCTGATATTCAATTTTTTTTTTAACCGGTTCAGTCTGTGAGATCGACGCCTAACCCCATGTGACTATTTAACAATCCGTCGAATCCCAATAAAGTTACATGGCCCGTTACCCATTCGAAGATTCAAAATCCAGTTTTCAAGCTCGGAATTCAACATGGAAGGTAAATTACTGGACAAATGCGGTTCATATATAAATATGCATAAGATATTGTGCTGCTTTTCAATTTTTTTTTCATTTTTCGTCTCTCTAATGTGACCTGCGGTCAAGCTCAGATCGTACTTCTACGATATGATAAACGCGGGCTTTTTTTTTTTTTTTTTTTTTAATTTAACGAGTGTTTGGAACCAGAATTTTGGACCGATAGGGGTAAATTGTACATAAAGATAATTTCCCTCTTTTTTTTTGGAAAATTGTTAATAAAAAAAAATTTAGAAATTATTTTCTTTTTTATATTTTGGTTTTTGAAAATTTTTAATTTTCACTTTGGAAATTTTCTCAGTAAGCAGCGTTAGAATAATTTATGGGGGAAAAAAATAAGAGGATTGAGATTCGAATACAAAAATCAATAATAAGAATAAAATTATTTTTAGAAAAATTTTGGAACAGAGTAATTATAAATTTTTTAATCTTGGGATGGTACAAATGATTTTATTGACGTAGAAAAATTAATTTAGCAACGAAATTAAATTTTTAATTCGAACTATTTTTCGAAATTAAATTTTTAATTCCAACTATTTTTTTTAAATATAATATTTAAAAAAATAGTTCGATAAAAAAATAATTCGAAATTTTTAATTCGAACTATTTTTTTAAATATAAAAATATTTTTAAAAAAATCGAATTAAGAATTTCGAAGTATATTTTTATCGAACTATTTTTTTAAATATTATATTTAAAAAAATATTTGGAATTAAAAATTTAATTTCGTTGCTAAATGAAAGGAACTTTTTTGGAAGTCTTAATTTTTGAACGAAGGCAGTGAATTTGAAAAAAAATTATTTCCGAACGCTGCTTATTTGAATTTTCCCCCTAACGATCCTTTGCAACACTCGTGCGAATAATTGTCAAAGCGAACGAATATACACATTCGACGCGAATATTCGAAAGTCCCAAGGAAAAAAAAAATTTTTTTTCTTCATTCATACTGCAATGAAAATTGGAAAAAGAGAAGACACTCGAATATTCGGACGACTTCGAGCAAGCCGAACTTTCGACTATATTCATAGATCTACTTGATAACCGCGCGCGTGCACAAATTTTTTTTTTTTAATAACAGTTTTTTACTTTTTTTCTCTTTAGTATTCCATGAAAAGGTGTAAAGTGCTTTTTTTTTGTGTGTGGATGAAGATGATTATCGACGAATATACAATTAGTTATTAGGTATCTGTCGTGCCTGTCCTTTCGTGTTTTTTTCTTAAATATTTCTTTTTTTCTCATTTTGTATGTAGAAATGCATGCGAAGTGTGCAGGGTGCGTCGGACGTAGTTTGGATCTCAGATCTCAGATCCGGCTTGCCGAGCTTAACTTATTTATATACGTACATATAATTTTATATGTCAATATTATATATAATTATGTATATAGCGCACAACTTTTTTTTTTAGATTTTTTTTTCTTTTTTTGAAACCTGTTTTTTTTTATTATAACGTACATACGTTGCGAGATCCGAAAAAATACGGACTCTTCGCGCTAATATTTGTCATATCACCTCTCGAGATACGAGTTCTATTATTTTTGCCATAAAAAATAAATTCCCTATCAACTAACGTGTTGGACAAACAACGACAATTTTTTTTTTTTTTCTGGAAATACCTGTCGAAGTTTTTACATTTTTTCTCTCTCATTCTCTCACACTCTCTCATGCTTCCTTTTTCCTAGTCTGTACAATGAATACACGTTTATAAGCTCTCAAAGCTTTCTCGTAAAATGCCTCGTGGAAACGTTGTGTGCAGTTTTTTTTTTGACTTTTCTTTCAACACTTGTGGACACGAGTTTTTCTTTTTGAAAAATCAATTTTCAATTATTTATTATTAATGATTTCCAAAAAAGAAAAATCGAATCACTTTTATATACATTCGAAGAACTATTCTCTTTTCATTTAAAGGAACACTGCAACGCTTTGCTCGAAAATTAATCAAGACACTGCGATAACATACATACACGTAAGCGTAGATCACTAGAAATTATGTGATACATAACGTTTCAAAGTTTTATTTTTTATTTTATTTATTTATTTATTTATCTTTTTTTTTTGCTTTAAACGCCCTCAATTTATGGTCCGTGAATTTTTACGGATTGCTTTCCCAGCGTGCAAATTGTTTGCGTCTAGTGTCGAGAGAAGGTGAGAGCAACGATCTGAGAGAGTCACTCGGAGAGGAATCACCAAAGTACAGCAGGGTCAAAGGCGACTGCAAGTGTGTGTGTTTGATGATCTCTCGCTCAGGCAGCGGCCAGAGTTCCTGGAATGCAATTCCTTTGACAACGTTGCGCTGGAGATGGTCATTGATAATTTTCAAAGGACGAAAATTGGTCCCTAGACCAATGTAATATCAGAGTGCCAATTTACCTGCAGCGAGAGAGCTTCGTCTCAGGATTCACCCTGTTTACCACGACGACCCGTGAGAGAGCCGACAAGTGACTTTAAAGTTGCACCAAATCCACGACCATTGGGTGTATTCAGACTTCGGGCATTTCGAAAACCTTGAGGATGGGCGTCCAAACACTTCTGGTACCTCAACTGCAAGAAAGGAATAATAGAATTAGAGAAAAGAATTCTATAAGAATTTTATTACCAATTTTCTAAAATAATTTAATTCACTCCAGGAATTTTATTACAATATAGAAAATAATTAATTTCAAAAAATTTCTTTAATTTATTCAAAATAATCGATTTTGTTAAAATAATTGTAATTAATAACTTCACTTATATTTTGTTTACCAGTTTAAAAATTTATTTTACAATTTATAAAATTAGTTTATAAAATAGTTTAAAAATTAGTTATTAGTTTCTAAAATTAATTTTTTTATTTTAGTATTTTATTATTTTATTTATTTCTTTCTTCATGAAAAATATTTTTTACAAGATAGAAAAATTTCATTATGGAAGATTTATAAATTTTCGAATTAGCTTTTTCCACTGGTTGTAAATTGCAAACACTTTGTATAATACGTAAAGAGAAAAAGAAATGTTTATTTTTTTTTACCTTGCAGGCAGCTTCGATTGTTTTGCAGAGAGCTCCACTACTTGGCTCGCAATTGAAAATGTGTGCAATAAACGTATCCTGCGCTGTGTGCATGATGAAAGCGCATTGCTTCACATTATGACCAATGCCCAAAAATGATAAATAGCGAACTCGACACTCAGTAATTAATTTGTCATCCTGTCAAGAATAATAATTCAATTATTATATTAATTTAAAAATTTGTTTTTTATTTTAATTTTTTTACTGATTTTTATATCCATTGAATTTCATATACATAATTATTTTATTTCTTTGTTTGTAATTTAGGGTGGCCGCTGGACCGAGACAGGGAATTTTTTTGGATTTGGAAAAACCGAAAAAAGACAGTAAATTTTGATCTTGACCGGGATTTTGGAAATTTTTTTTTAAACACTTATTATTTTGTGAGAAAAAATAGAAATATTTATTTTAAGACTTATTAATTAGATTTCATTAAAAAAGATTGAATGATCTTCTATAAAATCGTTTTATTTTGTCTGGGAATTTTATCAAAAGTAACTATAAAAATATCCAATTTCTAGAATTTAGAAGAAAATTATAAATTTTGTTGTCCAATGTAACAAATTTAAAAAAAAAAAATATTAAATTTAATTTTAAATTCTTTCTATTTCTAACAATAATTAAACAAAATATAATTTTAATTAAATGCGTTGATAAATTTGAAAGAGAAAAAATTTCACATCCTATAAAATACTGACAAAAAAATCAATATATAAATTTTTTTTTGCAATAATATTAAGTAAAACAAATTTAAACTAGTAAAAATTTGAACTAATTAGAACAAAAGTGATACGAAAATAAAAATTAATTTTTAAATAATAAAGTAGATAAATAAAAAATAAAAATAAATAAAATTTCTTTTCTTAGAAAATAAATTTTTAAAAAAACGTATTTTTTATTAATATCAATTCGTTTTTTTACAATTATTCATATAAGCAACTTTTTCTATATTTTAGAATATTAAATTAATAATTAATATTACTAATAATTAATATTATAGTATATATTATAAAATAATATTATATTATATTATTATTATATCATATATATTATATGTATAGTAATATTAAATATAAAATTTTAAAAAGTTTCAAATTCTTAGATATTGTTTGCTTTTTGTTTCTTAACTTTTTTATAATTTTTCTTTTCAAATATTTTCAATTTTAAAATTAATTTTATGGAGAAGAATTTTATTAAAAGTGAATTGAAAATAATTAAATTCCTTCAAAGGAGTTTACTATTTATAAAAAATAATTGAATTATTGCGAAGAATTTTACTATTTATAAAAATAATTAAAATATTTCGAAGAATTGATTAAAATTTTAAGAAATAATTAAATTGTTATGAAGAATTTTATAGAAATATTTTTAAATAAGGAAATTTTTTCGTGAAATTCAATTAAAGTTGTTTCAATTGTTTGAAAACAATAGAATTTGTTTAAAGAATTTTATTAAAATTAAGTATATTCAAAATAATTGGATTCATCACAAGAATTTTATTATTTTTTGAAAATATAATTGAATTCTTTAAATTTTTTTTACGAATATATTTAAAAATTGCATTATGAAAGTAATTTAATTTTTTTATATAGAATTTTTTAAAAATATTTTGAGAATAATCGAATTATTTTTTGAGAATTTTAAATTCTTCTTGAAATTGCATTTTATGGAAATTTTTGAAAAATAATTAAATTCTTTCATGTAATTTTATTTAAATTTGATTAAAAATAATTTAATTCCTGCAAAAGAATTTTCGTATTTATAAAAACAGTCGAATTTTTTCGAAAAATTTATTAAAATTTTTGGGAAATAATTGAAATTTATGGAAAATATTTTAAAATATTTGAATTCATCCGAGGAATTCAATTAAAATTGTTTTGGAAATCTTTAAATTTTTGTAAAGATTAAAGTCTTTTAATTTCAAATTTTTAATATTATTTAAAAAAAATAATTTAATTGTTTAGAAGGATTTATTAAAAAGTTAATTAATTTCAAAAAATTTATTTAAGTTCCAAATGATATTTTAGAATTAAAGATATTCAAACAAATTGTATTATAAATATATTTTAAAGTTTCAATTATATTATTTCTAGAGTAAACTAAAATATTTTTAGGGTTTGGGAAAAAGTTAAAATTTTGTCTAATATAAAAATCAGGGAAATCTTTCAATTTTTCATGGAATAATTTATTTTCAGAGTTATTCTTTATGACAGGGAAAAATAATTCATGACTGGGAATTTTTTGTTATATAAAATTAAAAAGTGGCCACCCTAGATTCTTACTTAGTTGCAATAAAAAAAGGTACATAAAAAATTGCACAGAAAAAACGATAAACTAATTTTAAGAAGCGCCTATTTAAATAGGAGCCAAGAATATTCCCTACTTAAATTAAGTGGGGAGCACTTAATTTAAATAGGAGCCAAAAATATTCCCTACTTAAATTAAGTGGGGGGCACTTAATTTAAATAGGAGCCTAAAATATTCCCTACTTAAATTAAGTGGGGCACTTAATTTAAATAGGAGCCAAGAATATTCCCTACTTAAATTAAGTGCCCCTACTTAAATTAAGTGCCTCCACTTAAATTAAGTGGGGGCACTTAATTTAAATAGGAGCCTAAAATATTCCCTACTTAAATTAAGTGTGGGCACTTAACTTAAATAGGAGCCAAGAATATTCCCTACTTAAATTAAGTGCCCCCACTTAAAATAAGTGGAGCCACTTAATTTAAGTACAGAATATTCTTGGCTCCTATTTAAGTACGCGCTTCTTAAAATTAGTTTATCGTTTTTTCTGTGACGAAAAAAATTATTTGAATTTAATAAATAGATCTTGTTTTGTTGAGTGAAGATGTTTAGAGTAAACTTACGTTTGGTGTTAGTATAGAAATCATACTGGGTGCAACAGCAACGTTGACATTTCGCCACTGACTTAGGGGTGTATTGGTAACAGTGTGGTCTATTGCATTATTTAACACTTCCATTCCACTGGCTTGGTTGACCTGCATCGATCCAAGGTATTGTGCTCGAAGCACTTTCTTAGGCTCCTCCATTGGTGTAGGAAACGATTGTGCTTCAAAACAATGAAAACAATCCCTTAAATTCCATTTTTTCTTACAACTTTCAATTACACTCCCCCCCCCTGTTTCTCAATTAAAATTATTTAAAATAAAATTCCAAACCCTTCGAAATATTAAAATTAAGTTCTTTAATTTAAAGTTTAATAAAGTTCTTTAATTCTTTGAAATTCTTTTCGAATTTTTGAGTTTTAAAAATAGAATTGAATTTTTTTTTTAAATAAACTTACTGACGAGTGCTTGTCCATTTCTATGAAAACGTCGATGCTCCGTGGGAAGATTTGTTGGCCTCGCGGCTAAACTTGTTCTACCATTAATATCCACAGGCCTGGTTGGATTTTGCTGAAGTTCACGTTCAATCAAAACTTTTTTGCATGCATCTCGTAGTGTGTTGGCAATAGTGAGCGGAGGAATGTCACATCGAAATACATGACACATGTATTTTCTGGTTGATTTGTCCCTCGCTACGTATGCAAAATCCCTGATAGAGCAGATAAAAAAAAAAGGTTTATTATATTTCCATTTTTCTCCAAAAACCACGAAATTCAAATATAAAAAAAAAATTTATTTGATAAATTACCTCTCACTGATGGAAAATTGTCCCCGGAAAAAAAGAAGTGAAGCAGAATGAAAAAAATTAATATTATAAATTTCTGAAATTTTTTTTCACATTTATCATTACAATAAAAAGAATTATAAAAATAATTTGTAATTTATTACACAATCGAAAAATTAAAAAAATATGAATCTAATTGTTTCTTACTTTCCCTGATCTCGACCAACACCCCAAACCTTGAGAGTACTGAATGGCTGTGTATTGAGGACAGTGAGATTTTCAGGATCTATTAATTTGAGTGCCCCCTCACCGAGATCCATGAAGAGATTCTTACCCTAGACAAAGATTGATTTTTAGGATTTTCCTTTTTCTAAGTAAAAAAAAAAAAATTCTTGTGGACAAAGAAATAACTGAACTCACGTCTCCCCATCGGCCAATGACGTCTAGAAGATCATTTCTTCCCAATGTCAGATCAACGATACATTTATTAACTGTTTTTCTACTTCTCTCTTCGGTGACGTCCTCCTCGGCAACTTCCACCCAACCGAAGGAACGAACTGCGAACCTGATCCTCTTGTCTCTACCCTCAGAATCTGCTCTTGCTGGATAACTTCTTCTTCTGCAATAAAAAAAAAGAATTTTTTGTTTATTATTCTTTTTTCTTTATTATAGAAATTAAATTACAACTACATGGAAAAAAATTAGGAAAACGTAAAGACTTTTATATGAAACCTACTTGAGTGCTAATTCCTCTTTTCTTTTGATCTTCAACTCCTGACTAAGAGCTGAACTTGTGTTGCTGCGTGTCACAGTGTTTGTCATTCCACTTAATGAATGGAAATTATCCACCTTAAATAATACAAAAATATTATAAACTAGCCAAACTATATTCTTGTTAAAGATTACAGGACAAAACATCCAATTCAAAAAATTCAGACCGAAAAATCCAAGAAAAAAAGTCCAAAGTACAAAAAATCGTAAAAAAAAAATGTCCAAAGTTAAAAAATCAAAAATAAATAAAAAAGTCCAAAGTACAAAAAATCATAAATAAAAATATCCAAAGTTAAAAAATCAAAAATAAATAAAAACGTCTAAAATAAATAATGAAACATGTGAAAAAGCCACGTTTTTACTTTTTACGCTATAAGATCGGAATTTAAAATGTTAATATTAAAATCGCAGGATTTTAATTATTTACATAAATAATAAAATTCAATTATTTTCATAAATAAAAAAATTCCAATTATTTTATAAAATTTTTAAAACAATTGTTCCAAGAAATACAATTATTTTCAACAGTTTTGATAAAATTCTTTTTACAAAAATTCAATTATTTTTTTTCAATACAATTCCAATTAAAATTACTCGATTAATTTAATTATTTTCAGAGTCATCGAAATTTCATTTAAAGCAGGCATTTAAATTTTTATACATATCTGAATTTTTTTCATTGGATTTTTATATTCTTTGGACTTTTTGAAAAAGGAAAAAAAAATCCAAAAAAATAAGTCCAAATTTTATAAATTTCAAAGTTGAATGAATTTAATTAGAAATTTTCATGAACTTAGATTTTTGACAAATTTTAATAATTCAAAATCTTCTAAAATTAGTTAAATTTGTCAATATGTATTTAATTAATTATTAAAAATAATGGATTTATAGAAGAATTTTAGTTAAAAACAGTAAAAAAATTTAATTTTAAAGAAGTTACAAATGATGCAGAAATTGAATTATTTTCAAAAGTAATAAAATTCTTATCACAAAAATTCAATTATGTTCAAAATTTATAAAAAAATCTCGACAAAATCCCAATTATTATCTTAATAAATAAAAAAATTCTTCTTCAAAATTCAATTATTTTCAAAAATTTCCCCCTTTTATTGATTTTTAATATTTACTATTTTAATAAAATTACCCGAAAGAATTGAATTATTTAAAAACAATTTTAATCAAATTTTTAATATATATTTAATTAATTATTGAAAATAGTGGATTTATAGACGAATTTTACTCAAAAACACTTAAAAAAAAATTGAATTTTGGAAAACATATAAATGATTACATAAATTCAATTATTTTCAAAACTAATCAAATTCTTTTCCAAAATTCAATTATTTTAAAAATTTTTTAATAAAATTCTTGTCAAAATTCAATTATTTTCAAAAGTAATCAAATTCTTTTCCAAAATTCAATAATTTTTAAAATTTTTAATAAAATTCTTGGCAAAGTTCATTTTTTTTTAAATTTTAATAAAATGTTTGTCAAAATTTCAAGTATTTTCAAAAATTCTCCTCAATTTCATATAAATTCTATTATTTACAAATTTTTAATTAATTTTTTCGCAATATTTAAATTATTTTCAATAAATTATCAAATTTTTTACAGGCATTGAATTATTTTCATAAATAATAAAATTCTTTTTAGGAATTCAATTATTTTTATAAATAAAACTCATCCCAGAATTTCAATTATTTTTATTAAAATTTTAACCAAATTCCTCGAAAAATGTAATTGTTCTTAACAATTTTATTAAAAATCGTCGAAGGAATTTAACTATTTAAAAATATGTTGGTAAAATTCTCCATGAGAATTTTGAATTTTAAGAAACATTCAATTGTTCAATAAATTATTTATTTTTGCCTTTAAATAATTGAATTCTCGTAGAATTTTCAAATAAAAATTGATTTAAAAATGAATTTCAGTTAAAATTTTAGATCTGAATATTTATTATTAAAATTATTGAAATATTCAAAGAATATTTGAATCTTAAAAGCATTATAGCATGAATTTTAAGAACTAAGTGAATTTTGAAAAGGTTTCAAATTAAATTCTTTGAAAATCTTAATTTTTCATACTTATAACCAACAATTCTGTAGAATTAATTATTTTGAAAAAGTTTAATTGAATGTTTTTCTGAAATTATTTGAAGTGTTAATTTTTTAATTTGTATTCAATTGAAGAATTTCTGAATAATTGAAATTTCGTTAAATTGAATTGTAAACAAATGGATTTGAAAATTCTCAAAGAACTTTTTCAAAAATTATTAAAGATAATTGATTTAAAGAAGAATTTTATTTAAAAATTCTAGAAAATAATAATTGAATTAAAATGATGAAAAAATTAAAGTAAAAATATTCCTATTGTATAAAATAATGATCGGTTATCTTTAATTTAATGAAGAATTTAAAATGAAGAATTTGCTTACTTCGAGTCTTCAGAGTCGAAGACTCGGAGTAATCAATTTCTTCATGTTTTATAATAAATATTCTTATAAATTGTTAAATTTCAAAAAGGTTTGAATTTGAATCTTTTGAAGAATTTTAATTCCTATGGAAAAATAATAATGATTAAATATTTATTTAGAAAAGAAGTTATTGATGTTTTCGAATAATTTTACAATCGTTTTTAACAAATAGAAATTTTGTAAATATTTTTTCCAAAGAAATTTAGAATTTCTTAAACAAAATTTTATTTATAAAATTTTTTTTACTTAAAACTTGTACTTTGCTTATTAATTATTATAAAACATGAAAAAATTATTATTTGCAATAGGCAATAGTAAAAAAATTATTAATAATAAATAAAAATGATCCAGTAACATCAAAAGCTATTTTAATACCAATCAAAAATTGACAATAAATTTCTAATGAATATTAGGAGAAAAAGTTACAAGATACTTGCGGTAAAATTGATGTTCTCAAAAGTTAAAAATAACTTACACTGTCATTGCTTTTGACCAGTGAACGACGGTTTTCCGTTTTTGAAATTATTTGTGGTTCAGGTGGTTCTCTCTGGATAGTGCCACTTTTGATGTGCCAGTAATAAGGACCTTCCTGGTCTGAAATCATTTTAGAATTCAGTCGGTCAGTCACCTGTTGCGCCACTCTACTAGTGTTCGGAGGTGTGATCAACGTTGTACATATAGTAGAATTACATTTCATTCATTTTCTTTTCAAAATTAATCTTTGTAATAAAAAAAAAATTATTTCTAATTTCCACAATCGAACAACTTTTTTTCGAATGTTTTAACATTCGCGAAAAAATGTTAAATCATTATATTGAGAATAACAATAAATTGAAACTTAAAATTTATTATTTTCAATAATCGAATAACAAAAATGCTAAAAAAAATAAAAACTCAGAACTTATGTTCTGAGTTTTTATTTCTTTTAGCATTTTTTTTTAAATGTTTATAAAATGTTGTTTTAAAGAAAGAAAAATATTCTTAAAGTTCTGTTTAAAAATATTCGTTTTCTTAAAAGTTTTTAATTAAAAAACTAAAAAACTAAAAAACTAAAAAATAGAAATTAATAAGCAAATAGAAAAATCTAAAATGAAAACTCATAACAAAAAAAAAAAAATGAAATTTCTGATCGTAAATTTTTGTGATCGTATTTCGGGGGATAAATGCGAAGGACAAGACAATAAATTTTGTTTATGTACAGTAGGGATTAATTAAGAAGAAAATTTAATTGAAATATACTCACCCTCGTGTTTTTCCCAACCGTGTGGTAAATTTTCGTCCTTGGCCTTGCAATCAATGGTCTGAACGTCAATAGCATTCGGTGGTTTTCCAGTGACGTTATTTTGTAAACTTGTATTTTTTTGCTCCTTAGGCTGTCGTCTTTTTACAGGAACATTATGTAATTCATTCAATCCGCCTACTTCAACGTGCGGTGTTCCCCCCATGTCTGTCGTGTCAATATTTCCTCCTTTCTCGCAGAAACTGCAAAAAGAAATAATTATCGATTTCATTACAAAATTGTATCATTATATCACTGCAATTTTAATAACATATTTTCTTATTCAATTTCTTTTATTAATTATTCATTATTTATTTATTATTATTTTTTATTATTTTTTGATTAATTTTTTTATTTATTTTCTTATTAAAATTTTGTTTTCAAGTTAACATATTTAATATAATCTTTTATACTAAATAATTTAAAATCACTTTAAATTAAATCATTTAAATTAAAAGTAACATTGCTCAAGAACTAAACTTTCTTTATACACGAAAGAAAGGTAAATTATTTTTCTTTTCAAATTAAAAATTAAAAATAAGTTTCGAAAATATAAATTGAAATAAACTTCTTTTGAAGTTTCACTTACTAATAAATGACAAAAAAAAAATAATTTACACAATATCGAACAGATAAATTGAAATAAAATAGTAAACTTCCCAAAGTTTTAATTTATAAATATCTCTCTATTTATTGCATGATTAAAAATTGCGTCATTTTTTTTGGGATATTAATATTGTAAAGAGGATTAAGGAGACATTTTTACGAGTCCTGTAGAAATGGTGTTTAGGGTGTCGTTAATCTAAGAAATACAAACTTGGACGATAAAGCAACTTGGCCTAAATGAATATATGCGACAATTACCAAGCAAGGAACTATAAAGATTTCACAGGGAAGTTTAACGACCGTTAAATGCGGCATTATCACGTTGTTGTGATCAGACTGCCTCGTTAATTTATACCATGTCAAGCGGAAAATTTAAATATTCAAACAATAATTACAAAAATGCTAATTATCATTTTTTATTTTTTTCCTCTTCCTCTTAAAATTAAATTCAATCGAGCATATTCTGCTCTTTTCAGTGCACCATACCCGTAGTCACGATATGTGAGCAATTATTTATTTACTATCATGGAAAACATTTTTTTTTCTGGAATAGCTATAAATTTTACTAGATCAGCGCAATTTTTTGTTCTTTTAGTTAAAACTTTTCGATATCCTAAAAATTCGATTAAAATTGTATTAAAAATAATTGAAATTCTGCGATGAGTTTTATTAATGAAAATAATTCAATTTCTAAAAAGAATTTTATTATTTATTAAAATAGTTGAATCCCAGTAAAAATTTTTATTTTTTATTGAAAATAATTAAATTTTTGCGAAGAAATTTATAAAAAAATTTGTAATTAATAGAATTCATATGAAATTGAGGAGAATTTTTGAAAATAATTGAAATTTTGAGTTTTTTGACAAACATTTTATTAAAATTTTTTAAAAAATTGAATTTTGCCAAGAATTTTCTTGAAAATTTTAAAAATAATTGAATTTTGAAAAAGAATTTTATTATTTTTGAAAATCATTTAATTTATGCGAACATTTATAAGTTTTCCAAAATTACATTTTTTTGTGTGTTTTTGAGTAAAGTCCGTCTATAAATCCACTATTTTTAGTAATTTATTTAAATATATATATTCAAAAATTTAACAAATTTCAGAAGAATTTGTATTATTAAAATTTTTAAAAACCAAAGTAATCTTTAAAATTTTAACTGAAATTAATTTTTAAATCAATTTTTATTAGAAAATCCTACAAGAATTCAATTATTTAAATGCAAAAAAAAATAATTTATTGAATAATTAAATATTTCTTAAAATTGAATTCTCATAAAGAATTTTATCAAAACATTTTTAAATAATTGATTTCTTTTGACGAGTTTTAATAAAATTGTTGAGAACAATTACATTTTTCGAGGAATTCGATTAAAATTATATTAAAAATAATTGAAATTCTGCGATGAGTTTTAATTATAAAAATAATTGAATTTCTGAAAAGAATTTTATTATTTATAAAAAATAATTTAATCCCTGTGAAAAGTAGAATTCATATTAAATTAAGGAAATTTTTTGAAAATAATTGAAATTTTGTTAAACATTTTATTCAAATTTTAAAAAAAAATTTATTTAGCCAAGAATTTTATTAAATATTTTTTAAAAAATTGAATTTCGCAAAAGAATTTGATTACTTTTGAAAATAATTTAATTTTGCCAAGAGTTTTATTAAATTTTTTTAAAATAATTGAATTTTGGAAAAGAATCTGATTACTTTTGAAAATAATTGAATTTTGCCAAGATTTTTATTAAAAATTTTTAAAATAATTGAATTTTTAAAAAGAATTTGATTAATTTTGATAATAATTGAATTTTGCCAAGATCTTTATTAAATATTTTTTAAAAAATTGAATTTTGGAAAAGAGTTTGATTACTTTTGAAAATAATTGAATTTTGCCAAGAGTTTTATTAACATTTTTAAAAATAATTGAATTTTGGAAAAGAATCTGATTACTTTTGAAAATAATTGAATTTTGCCAAGATTTTTATTAAAAATTTTTAAAATAATTGAATTTTTGAAAAGAATTTGATTAATTTTGATAATAATTGAATTTCGCCAAGATCTTTATTAAATATTTTTTAAAAAATTGAATTTTGGAAAAGAATCTGATTACTTTTGAAAATAATTGAATTTTGCCAAGATTTTTATTAAAAATTTTTAAAATAATTGAATTTTTGAAAAGAATTTGATTAATTTTGATAATAATTGAATTTTGCCAAGATCTTTATTAAGTATTTTTTAAAAAATTGAATTTTGGAAAAGAGTTTGATTACTTTTGAAAATAATTGAATTTTGCCAAGAGTTTTATTAACATTTTTTAAAATAATTGAATTTTGGAAAAGAATCTGATTACTTTTGAAAATAATTGAATTTTGCCAAGATTTTTATTAAAAATTTTTAAAATAATTGAATTTTTAAAAAGAATTTGATTAATTTTGATAATAATTGAATTTTGCCAAGATCTTTATTAAATATTTTTTAAAAAATTGAATTTTGGAAAAGAATCTGATTACTTTTGAAAATAATTGAATTTTGCCAAGAGTTTTATTAAAAATTTTAAAAATAATTGAATTTTGGAAAAGAATCTGATTACTTTTGAAAATATTCAATTTATGCAATCATTTATAATTTTTCCAGAATTCAATTTTTTTTAGTGTGTTTTTGAGTAAAATTTGTCTATAAATCCACTATTTTTAATAATTTATTAAATATATATTAAAAAATTTAACAAATTTCACAAGAATTTGAATTATTAAAATTTTTAAAAACCTAAGTAATCTGCAAAAGAAGCCAAATTTATTTACAAGGTAAACGATCTTACAAAAATGTAAAATTTCTCTTTTGTTATTTTAATAATTATTATATTATAATATAATAAAATAATTTTGTTAGATTATATTTCTATAATATTGGATTATAATATTATAATCATATTATTATATTCAAGTTATTTAATTATTTATTCATTTATTTATAAAATATATAAAAAAAATTCTATCATCTCGCTTTATAAAATTGTTGGTACCCATTTCATACGATTTAATTCTCCATTTTTGTCTATTATTTTATTTCACGTGTTTATTCTTTTTGACGATTCATGTGTAGTTTTTGAAATGTCAAAAACAGTTGAGGTTTGATGATGAAATCGAGTATACATAGAGAGGAGTGTATTTTACGCATATCCTGAGGCTGAAAAGTGCTTTGGTCCTGAAAATTTCTGGAGAGCTATTCAAGTAGTGCTGAAGCATCAAAAGCACCAGGAGAAGCTTTACGAGAATCTAGAAACGAAATAGAGTTAAAAAAAAGAAAAACAAAGAAAGAAAGAGAAGGAGAAGAATAGTGAAGAGATGAAGAACGAAGAGAACAAACGATTGAGTTTGTGGCGCAAAAAAAAATGTTTCTATTAAAAAATAGATTGAGAGTAAAAATATTTCGTATATTCGTCAACCACCCTTTGATGAGAATTTCATTTTTCAAAGAGTTGCCCGAATTTAATTGAAAAATCGCTAAATTATTCAGGACGAAATTTTTTAATTTGGTGCGAAAAAATTGTTTTTCTTTTGGAGAAAATATTTTTTTGAAACAAATATTTTTCAAAGACAATATTTATTTTAAAGAAAATATTTTCTAATGTATCATCAATAAGACAATAGAAGCAAAAAAAAAACCTCATCCAATGCACTACTGATAATTTTTCTACAATAATTAAGGAAACAAACCTACGTGCAAAAAATTCTGTTTAAAAAAAAAATATTTCAACCCGAGAAATTTAATTTCTATACCCATTCATCAATTCTGAATTTTAACGATGAAAAAGAATTTGATATTTTTATATCTTCAATTTTTATTCACTATTCAATAGTGTCAATTTCAGTCTAAAAACAGTAAAAATAGTTATTAATATTAATAAAATAAATGATGAACTTTTTAATTACAGTGTAAGTAGAAGAAGACAGTGTCAGTCAGACGAAATTGCAAGGAAATTGTAAAGACAGTAGTAAAAGTAAGTCTTCAGTCAGACAATTCAGTGTCAGTAGTTAAAGTCAGTTTTAGTCGGACCAAATACTATGAATTATAGAAACAGTAGTGAGAGTATTTACCAGTCAGACATTAAAAAGAATAGAAATATTTTTCAGTAGTAAAATACTTTTTAGTCAGACAAAATTGTCTCGAATTCAAAATCTACATATCCAACACTACTGCAACAAGTAGTCAAAGTAAATTTCCAGTCAGACTTTCCTTAGTTTGTGTATTGCAGTGTCAGTAGTGAAAGCCAATTTTAGTCAGACGTTTTTAAGACAGTCTCAAGACAAAAAATTTACGACCCCTTTTTCCATAAGTAGTCGAAATAATTTTAATCAGACATTACGATTTTAATTTTTCTTTTTTAATAATAAAATAAGTGGAAGTCAATTTCAAAAAGTGAAAAATTGAAAGTATCAGTAGTAAAAGTCAATTTTAGTCAGACGTATGATTTTTTCCCAAATTATTTTCTCATTTGTATTCAATTTACCACTGTAACTACTGTTTTTAAAAACCAATTTTCTAAAAAATACTCCAAATAACTCAAAACTAAATAAAAATAAATAAAAATAAATAAAAATAAATAAAAATAAATAAAAATAAATAAAAATAATTAAAAATAAATAGAAATAAATAGAAATAAATAAAAATAAATAAAAATAAATAAAAATAAATAAAAATAAATAAAAATAATTAAAAATAAATAAAAATAAAAAATAAATCTTAAAAAATACATCTCAAAATAAATATCTTAAAAATAAAATTATTACTTCTCTACAAAAATCATTCCAAACGTGCTGATAAAAAGTGTTCCTTTTCTTTTCATTAGAACATTAATCATAAAAGTCAAATTTCAAGTTTTAGATGATGATGATAATAATAATAATAATTTTTACATTTTTACATTTTCTCTAAATTTCAGAGGTGGATGAGAGGGGTTGGGGGAAGGTCTACGAAAAGCGTACGACGAATTCGTACATACTTTATGACGTCGGCGCCGGAAGGATTGGCGACTGGTTCTCCATGATTTTCCAGAGTGGAAGCTTTCGGCAGAAGCTTGCTAGTCGATCGGGGATTCCCATTGAGGGTGTCGTCGATCAAAGTGGATTCAGCGACCACTGCCACACCCTCATTGACGTACCTGAATCATCAGGGCATCACAAATATTAGGAAAAATATCCTATTTTTAAAATTTTTTTTTTAAAATTTATAATCCTATATAATAATAATAATTACTAACTATTTTATTTATTTACTTAGGGTATACTTAATATTTAGATATTTTTGAATAAATAAACAAAATAAATATTTTAGAAAAATGAACTTTAGTGTTTTAATTTTAAACCCTTATTTTGAATTTTCTCTACCTTTAATTATTTCAATTTAATTTTTAATTTACTTTTAATGTTTTAATTTACTTTTCATTCAATTTCCATTCAACTTTCATTCAATTTTTATTCAATTTTCATTCATTTTGTAATAAAATTTAACTAAATTTAAAATAATGTTAAAACTATTGTTGGGAGTTAATTTCATAATAAGCCCCTAAAGAGAAAAATAAACTAAAAGAAAGAAAATAATAAAAGTTTAATTATGAAAATTAGGAAATAATAAATAAACAAATATAGTAATAAGAAAGCTAATAAATAGTAAATAAAAAATGGTAGCAGAAGTAAAAATATAATCATAGTGATAGTAATAATATAATAATAAAATTATTAAAAAATGTAAATGAAATTATCTTAAATAAAATAGAAATAGAATAAAAATAAAATTGTAAAAATAAAAATGCGAAAATAATCATTAAACAAAAGTATCAAATAAAAGGTAATAACCGTTTCTTTTTTAACCATTTCATGATAATGGTAAACTGAGTGGAAAGTTTTGTGACCTTATTTCGGTGTCCGTGACATAGTCCTCATGGTTATTTGCATAAATTTCTTTGTCTACTCTTTGCTGGGTATTCGTATAATAGGAAAATTAACGCATTCTCTCTATGCCAGCACCATTTTAATTAACGATCAGTGAACACACAAACACACACACACACAGAGTCAAATATCTCTTTTATACATTTATATATATATACTATATTCATGGTCCTTTTCTCTAAAAACACATTTTCTTCAACCTCGCCTCTACAATGTCGATGTAATTAAAGGGATTTAGCTAAGTACTTTGCTGACTAACGATAGAAAGACGACAGAACCAATAAGATTTTCTATAAGAACAGGAAGGTACTGATCAAATATAAGAATGAAAATTCTCTTATTGACAATTTCCTTTGCGCTCGCTTGCTTTCAGAAAAACCCGAGGGAAATTGGAAAAAAAGAGACCGGAGAATAAAAAAAAAACACACACACACACTTTTATCCTTTTCTTCACATATACCTACTCGTGGAATAAAATAGAATTTTTTTTCTAGATTACGAAAAAAAAAATTCGAAATTTTTAAATTTAGGTAAAAATATAAATTATATAAATTAAATAAATAAAATTTTACAAAAAAAATGAAATTGAAAGAATATTTTGCAAGAATCTTGAATAAAAGTGAAATTAAAAAAATATTTAAGGGCATTTGAACCATTATGACGTCATAGGTTCTGCAAAGCAAGTGTTTTAAGGCTGTGACGTCATCATGGTTCAAATGCCCTTAAATGAAAATAGAAAAAAAAATTTAAAATGAATAAGATAAGATTATTCTAATGAAGGTGAATTTCTACAATTATTTTAACGTCAAACATTTCTTTTTAAATTTCAAGTTTATAAATTTGGAAATAACAGTAAAAACAATCTTGACCTAACATTAATCTTTAATAAGAAATTTATTTAAAAATACTTCTAAAAATAATTTGAAATAAAGTAATAAAAATAATCAGAAAAAAATAATTTTAAATAAAATAATAAAAATAATTAGAAAAAATTACACATTAGAAAATTTTAGTTTTCTTTAAAAAAAATAAAGTTTATAAATCAAAACTTTTTCAAACTTGTGAAACAAATTTTAGAAATAAAAACTTGTCGGAAATTAAAAATAAATGTAAAATAAATTTTAGAAATCAAACATTGTTAGACAATTTTTTTAAAAAATCATAACTTCTTAGAAAAACATTTTTTTAGAAAACTAATTTCATAAGAAATCGCTTGTTTCGGAGAAAAAGATTAGAAAATATTTTTTTAAAAAAAGTTGACCATCTACCAACTATTTAAATAAAAATAGAAAAAGAACTTTAATAAGAATAGAAAATAGATTTAAAGAAAAATCCATTAATCATGAATTTTAACTATATAATAAAGAAAAATTGTTGTATCAGTAGTAAGTATAGATTATAGTCAGACGGAATTTTCAGAATATTTTTAATTATTAGAAATTAGAATAAGATTTTTAATTAGAAATTAGAAAAAGTATATTTAAATAAAATGGAAAAAATATTTAAATAACAATCCATTAATTGTAAATTTTAACAAACTAATAAAGAAAATTAAAAAATTCTTGGAAAATTAAAATTAGAAAGTAGAAAATATTTTTTGCACATTTTCTGCTTCTCAATTACAATTCATAAACAAAGTACAAATTTTAAGTAAACAAAAATGTTATAATAAAATTCTTCTTTCAATCAATTATCTTTATAATAATTTTTGAAAAAGTTCTTAGAGAATTTTCAAATCCATTTCTTTACAATTCAATTTTACGAAACTAAGATTTTTAAAAAGAATTTAATTTAAAACCTTTTCAAAATTCAATTATTTCTTAAAATTCATGCTATAATGCTTTTAATATTCAAATATTATTTAATTTGAATAATTATTATTTGAATAATTTGAATAATAAATATTCAAATCTAAAATTTTAACTGAAATTAATTTTTAAATCAATTTTTATTAGAAAATTCTACTTTGAATTTAATTATTTAAATGCAAAAATAAATAATTTATTAAATAATTAAATATTTCTTAAAATTGAATTCTCATAAAGATTTTTATTAAAACATTTTTAAATAATTCATTTCTTTTGACGATTTTTAATAAAATTGTCAAGAACAATATTACATTTCTCGAGGAATTCAATTAAAATTGTATTAAAAATAATTGAAATTCTGCGATGAGTTTTATTTATGAAAATAATTGAATTCATAAAAAGAATTTTACTATTTACGAAAATAATTCAATCCCAGTAAAAATTTTTATTTTTTATTGAAAATAATTAAATTATTGCGAAGAAATTTATAAAAAAATTGTAAATAATAGAATTCATATGAAATTGAGGAGAATTTTTGAAATTTTTCCAAAAATTGTATTAAAAATTTTTTGAAAATTGAATTTTGCCAAGAATTTTATTGAAAATTCTTAAAATAATTGAATTTTGGAAAAGAATTTGATTACTTTTGAAAATAAATGAATTTGTGTCATCATTTATAATTTTTCCAAAATTCAATTTTTGGAAAAACAGAAAAATATTTAATTAAAAATAGAAAAAATACTTAACTTAAAAGTAGATAAAAAAAAAATTAAAAATAGGAAAAATTTAATTTTCTATAAATTTAATTTGAAAATAAATAAAAAATAATTTGTTTGCGTAATTCATGACGACAATATAAGATGTAAGGAAACTATAAAATTGAAATTCCTATGAACAAGAATGTGGAGAAGCACTATACCTGCGGTAAGTATTATGAAGGTTACTAACCACATGCATGAGTTGGATAGTCGCCAAGTAGGGGTGCACAGGGGTGTGAAATGGAATATCAAAGAAGCCGCAGAAGGATCGCATTTCACCGATTCATTCTACAATGACCATTGCGGATTCATATGATTCTCATAACACTCCCCTCAAGAAAAAGAAAAAGAAGAGAAAAAAAAATAAAAAGTAAGAAAAATTCCCCCGACAAAATTGAAGTGGAAAATTCCTACAGATATCCTTCACAACATATTTCCTATTACAAAAAAAGAAAAAGGAAAATGTACATGGAGAGAATTTTTTGTTAATGAAACAAGTTGACAATATTTTCAATATTTCAATAATAAAAAAATTGTCCCAAAAAGAATTTTTTTAATTAATAAAAGTTGTACCGAATTTTACAATATACAAAAAATTTATTTTCAATTTTATTATTTATATTGTTTTTAATTTTATATTTGAGCCTCTGGATAGTAACGCATAATACTTTTTAATTAATTTTTCATTGAAAATAATCGGAAAAAAATTGTTTGTTGAAGATGGTAATTTTTGTATATCACGAGCCAACGCTTTAATTTTAATATGAAATTATTTCCCTTCATTATTCTTATCAATTGAATTAACAATTTACAAACATAAATGAACCAAAATATAATATTGAACCAGAAAGAGAAATAAATAAAAAAACAGTTTTAAAATATAAATTAAACAAAAGTAAAACGGAGTTAAAATAATTTCATTTCGTTTTACTTTAATTTTAATTTAATATTGGATTTTTGTTACATTTCAATTTAATATTGGATTTTTTTAAATTTTAATTTAATATTGGATTCTTTAACATTTTAATTTAATATTGGATTCTTTTACAGTTTAATTTAATCATTTAATTTTTTTACATTTAAATTTAATAATTTAATTTTGTAAAATAAAAATTTTCATAAATTATAAATTACTGTCTATTTTCAATTACCACAGCAGAAAGAAATTTCAACAAACCATTTTTATTTATTAAAAAAGAAAATTTACTAAAAAAAAAAGCTGGACTAAAATCCTTAGAGGTCATGAGTTGAGACTTTTATTAGGATATTTTTCCTTGTTCCGGAAGATTTAGGGGGATGAAACTTTTATGCTAGTTTTCCTTCACAAATGACAATTTTCTCTTACGAGACTTTTCAAGTTGGAATTGGTTGCTTTTTATGAAAAAAGAAAAAAAAATGTTAAAATTCAAGGGGGTGAAAACGAGAATTGCAAATTATATCCCAAGAAAAAGGTTTACATACCTTTTTTTCCCTTCATATCGGTCAAAATAAGGTTATCTCTTTATTAAATTCGTCTCTTTTTGTCAAAAGATCAAAGGACACTTTTTTTTGAAAATAATTCAGAATTCGAAAAATTTAGAATTTTATTTTGTCAGGGAATTTTATCAAAAGTAGTATAAAAATATTCAATTTCTAGAATTTATA